AAACCTAAAACACAATAAACAAGCACGAACACAGACACAAGCATCACAAAACAATAACGACAAAATAAACAAAACAACTATAACTATGAACTGAAACACAACCCTCTTTCAGCAGATACGACCGAGATTGAACAGCAGACGAGGCCGATTACAAGGAAAGATCCAAAGCACAGGAACTCCACCCGCCACTGCCTAATGCCTAGCAAAGACGAAGACCCGAGCCTCAAAACAGTCCAATAAAATCGACCCGCTCTCCAACCACTCGAAACCACAATCGACCCCCAACCGGCTAACACCACTAGCCAAGTCCGTCACCATCCCGAATCTGCCTAACACCACTAGCCAATTCCGGGCACGGTCGGCCTCCCGCCGACTCAAAAAGAGCAAAAGGGAGGAAGGGTTCGAATGGCTTCCAAGCCCCGCCGCTCGAACACAACCCAACTAAGCAACAATCTCCTCCCGACCCGGCACACGAGGTCAGGACCCCGCCCCGACTTCCTCACAGCTCCGAGACCGGCGAGACCAGCAAGACCGGCGAGAGCAGGGGGAAAAAGACGAAGACCTGCGGCCACCCGACCCGGCCAGGAGAAAGAAAAATTGCCTTTGCTAGTGTTGAGATGAACAGCCGAGCCACCTCCAAGAACTGACGATGCGCCAACTGAGACCCAACCCATCAGGACCGCCGGCGGCCATCTCGCAGAGCGTCTAGAAAACCCTAGCTCGCCCCTTTGGCTTGAGTCACCAAATCCGAGCATCTCAGTCTAAAATTGGAGGCGCAGCGGAAGGGCCATCCACCGGCGATGCCGGACGACTGTTGAAAGAGGCGCAAAACCGGCTAGATCGGAGCTACGCGCAAGATTTTCCGGGGAGGGGATGGAAGAGCGAGAGAGGAAAAGAGGCATTCAATTTCTCTCCAACCATTCTTCATTTATTAACTTTTTTTTTTATCTCATTTTTACTTTTTAGCTCATGAAATGTCAACAGAGTAATAAGAAATTAAGAATCATACAAGTATAAATTTCATTTTATTGTGCTATCGAAATTTAAATCAACATGTAAATCATATACTATAATTATAATCATAGTATAATACTATTTACAATGATATTATATTTATCAAGATATTTTATAATAAAAATAATGAATAATAAGGCTAATAAAAATAATTAAAAACATACATTTATTTCTATCTTGTTCGAGAAATGTTTGTTAACATTCGTTCTACTTCGAAAAAAAACTCTTTATATAATTATATTTTTTTATGTGCATTTATGATAAATATATGAAATATTTATTAAATAAAAATATAACGGTAAATTTCAGTTAAATCCCCAATACCCTTTTCAAATTCCTTGTCAGTCCCTAAGTTGTATTTTTTCCTCTGCACTCTCTTACACTAATTTTCTCTTTCCATTTCACTCCTCATATATATAGTAATGTATTTATTATTAATTTATTTTGCCTTAATATCTGAAAATCGATTTTTAAAACACCAACGGCCGCACGTCGCTGCAACAGACATTCATTAGTGGCGACAAATAACCTTTCATTCTCTTTGTTGAATAACCTTTCACTTCTCAAAACCCTAGCTTTCGATCGCAACCAAAAAAAAAAAAAGAAAACCAAGGAGGCACACGTTTGCGAAAAGAAAAATGGAAACGATTTCACCCTATGAAAAGATCGCGATCCGCTTCCGTGACGTGGACTGGACAGAGGAAGAGGAAGATATTTGCTACCGATTGTTTTTTAAAAAGTGCCGTGAGAAGGCAGACATACACCAAGGCCCTGTGTTCAATTCCATGTGGGCAGAAATTTCAAAAATAATGAACCAAGTGCTGAGTAGCACTTATGCATTGAAGAGGGAGTACTATTGTCCAAGTCCGGCGAAAGATTCAGCTGCTCAAAAATTATTTTGATTAATTTTCTGCTTTTCTGAGGATTCCAGGCGTCCTCTTGCGTCCTGGTTAAGGCTTGGTAGAGGTTAACCACATGTACTGGGTGCATGTGCGGGATGCGGTAAATTTCATTTGATTTTTTATTTTAGTTTGTTGAAGCATGCAATTTTGTGACGCGGCCATAATAACCTAAAAAGATTCAAATTTATTACATAGGAGACAGACGCACAGGCATTTTTCCGTTCGGAAGGATTCCCCTGATATCGTGAGTGTTACGAGGTTTTTACCGAGCGCAACGCAACCGCGATCGACATGGAGGGCGGGACTGGTGCTTCAGTTGACGACCCAATCTGGGGGAAAGACATAGACGATGACGGTGATGATCAGATCCATCAGCCACCACCAAAGGTGGAAGTCATCGATCTCGATCCTTAGAATCCACTAGACATGTAATCAAAACTTGTTTGGCTTGTTTTGTTGGACTGACTGCAGCAATAATAAATATATATTTTTTTTCTTCTGTCAAGTATATGAGTTTAATCATGATTCATATGTCTAAACAAAACAAAGTGCGATAAATCGCATTGTGTTCCCAGCAAAATCAGCGACAATATTTGAAGGGAAATTATTATTGAAAGGAATTTCGCAGAACTGTGAACAAAGTGCGAAAATCGTATTGTGTTCGCGTAACGTAATGAAAAAAAAAATAAAAGTAATTTATATTTTGTAATCGCGTCTCCAGGCCAGATCAACCGCATCATTTAGGATATGTGAAAAACTATCGCGTAATTAGATTATCGCATATCCAAATCGAACGTTGCATTATTTATGAGTATGCGGCATATGTTCGCATAATTTACGATTCGCATATCCAAAGCTATAAGGCTAGATAACTATCGATTATGCGTATTGTTTTCGCATATTTAAGAATCGCATATCCATATAAACCTCGCATAATGTATCAATATGCGAACACATTTCGAAGTGTTACGCACCGCATTGGTTGACTGCTTTTTTTCACCTAATAGTTATTTTCAATTTATTATTAATTTAGTCAAAGAACAAGAATTTTCCAAAACTTATTATTTACCAACTCGTGGACTAATATGCGACGTTTGCATGTCGCAATTTCGTATGTCGCAGAATAGAAAATGTACAAAAACAAACTTAAAAAAATATATGTTATAGTACGAGTGTTATGCGGTTTTGTTTCGAGTAATAATCGTAGGTTCATTCGTCTAATAGTAGTCTTCAATTTATTAGTAATTTAATCACAGACCAAGAACTTTCCAAAAATTAAATTTTATAAAATTAATTATTTACCAACTCGAGGACTAATATGCGACGTTTGTATGTCACAATTTTGTATGTCTCATAATAGAAAATGTACAAAAACAAGCTTAAAAAATATATGTTATAGTAAGAGTGTTATGCGATTTGTTTCGAGTAATAATCGTAGGTTCATTCACCTAATAGTAGTCTTCAATTTATTAGTAATTTAATCACAGACCAAGAACTTTCCAAAATTTAAATTTTATAAAATTAATTATTTACCAACTCGGGGACTAATATGCGACGTTTGTATGTCGCAATTTCGTATGTCGCAGAATAGAAAATGTACAAAAACAAACTTAAAAAAATATTTGTGTTATAGTACGAGTGATATGCGGTTTTTATGCGAAATTGTTTCGAGTAATAATTGCAGGTTCATTCGCCTAATGGCTAATAGTAGTCTTCAATTTATTTAGTAATTAAGTCACAGAACAAGAAATTTCTTTTATTTTTTCAACGAAACGATAGATTGAATAACTACATATTCACAATGTTCGATGGCTAACTAACCATAACAAGGAGCATCACCCCATGGTGTCCTAAATAATAAACAACCAATACATAGAGCAACAGGACAGACAAAGAACTTTAAAAAAATTAATTATTATAAAATTAATTATGAACCAGTTCGGCGAATAATATGCGACGTATGTATATCGCAATTTTACATCGACACAATTACTTTACATCGACTGAAATAGTTTACATGTAACCTTAAATCGGCATAAATGAATTATTACTAGAAAGAGGCGGCTACGACAACGAGTTGAAAGAACAGCTTGAAAGATCAGAAACAATTGGATGCGTGTGCCGAAGGTTTCGAAATCGGGAGGCTAGGTAAGTTGATGGGATCGGTCCATCAAGTTGGCTTCCAAAAAAAACCATCCCTTGTTTGACTTTCAATCTCCATTTTCACATCTGTCTACGAATGGAATGTATACAGAGGTTGACGAAAATGGACGGTGTGATGTATACAAAGGTCAAGGGAAATGGAAAATGGGATTTATCACTTGCGATCAACATAAGTGTCCGTACTAATATTTCATAAAGAGATTTAATGGTCAATCACCTTTGTCTTTCAAGGCGTTATCCCTTTCACCATCGTAGGCTCCTCAATCTAGTATACCCAGGAAGACCAAGCAATTCGCCGGAGATTCCACGCCTTCCCAAACACATGGTCGCTTCCAATTTGTTCAGCCTGCAATTTTGCAAAGCTCCCAATGTGAGGTGACCATGTGCCTGGGCAGACGTGGGATCTCCAGGGCGAGTGCATGGACTTCCTGGGGATTCTAGATTGGGGAGGCTACGACGGAGAAAGAGAGCAAGCCCTCAAAGACAACAAGAGGATCAGGACCCTTACTCAATTCTTCAACCTTCGATTTTCTTCAACAAGACGGACAATGCAGACTCTACGGTAGGTTGAGGAAAATCGAGAGTTGAAGAATTGAGAGAAGGTCCTGATCCTTGTTCAATTGTCTCATCTCAGCTACCTTTATAGAAGACTAAAGAAGATATCTATCCTCCTTGATACGCACGCTGTTATTATGCGCCGAAGACTGAGGGGACGTTTCGGAGCGACTCTTTCAAATTCGCAGAACTGCGAACAGAATGCAATGAATCTCACTTTATTCGCATAACGTAATAACAATAAATGATTTCTCATATCTGGTTTAAAGAAGAGATACTCAAGAAGATATCTATCCTCCTTGATACGCGCGCCGTTATTGTAATATCCCATTCTGTTATTAATAAAAGTAATTATTTTAGTTCTAATTTTGAACTATTTTACTTTTATTAATAATGCTCGTTCCTAGTCCGAGCCAGTTGTTAAGTTATTAAATTCAAAGTTCGACTTTAAGTCGAAAGTATTCTCGATTAAATTCTATTTAGTAATCGAGACAGTTTAGTAATTAATTCCGATCTATTTATTTTTATAAATGGATTTTATAAGACGGAATTAATTATTTCAAAGTTGACGAATAATCGAAATTGAGCATGTTCGGTCGCTAGCCGAGTCTAAGTCTTGCGAGAAGGTTAAGTCATAGTAGGTTTTCTATTCGGTNAACTCTTATGTGTGCTAATGGGAGCATGTGTGAATGCAAGATAGGTAGATGTTGTCTCGTGGTACCTAAAGTTGATTCAAAGCAAGTTATTATAATCCAAGAGGAGGCCGACCAGATCTATTGTTCAGCTACTATGCATATTTTGTCGAAAAGAGTTCAAGAGATAACACCAAGCAATTATTTGCGCATAAAGAAAGGGAAATGAGACAAGAGTTGACAAATTAAGATGTCTTCTCTCATGAGATGTTTTGGCAGTATTTTTTTTTTTTTTTAAATCATATGCATTGTTGATCATGTTTGTTCAGCTGGCACAACGTGTTGTCGAGAATATTAGTTCAAGTCAACTAAAGAAGTTTCATGTGCCTGTGAAATGAGTTCAACTATTAATTCATCCGAAATTAAGTCTTATTATAAGACCCATTAGCTGAGAATAGATATTAGGTACTCAGTAAACTCGGAAAATTGAGAGAAAGATAAGAAAAAGCTAAGAGATGCTAGCTAAGCCATTTTTATGCGCGAGAAAAAGAGAACTAAAAACAGAGCTTCATCTTCTTCAAGCAATAAAAAAAAAAAACCGAGAGTTATATACTATATCCAAACATGTGCGCGAGAAAGAGAAATAGAAAAGGAGACCAGTTGGGAGGTGCCGGAGAATTTCCGATCAAGGTGACGAGCAGCAGGTTTATTTCACGGCCATCAACAACAGTCCCAGTTATCCCATCAATCTCCTCTCT